CGGTATTTCAAGAAAATATTTTTTGTTCATCTTTGTTTACTGAATTACTTTGATGTTTTGATGACTGTGAATTGAACAGGCAAGACTAGATTAGAGCACTCGTTAATTGCTGGATATAAATAAAAATTTTTTTCGTTTTTTAATACATTTATTTTCTTCACTTCTTTGCAGGCCTGACATGAAGTTTGACAAAAATTTCCTGGTACATCCTAACACAGTTGGTTAGTTCATCTTTAAATTAATCTGTGATACTGCTTGACTTTTTGGTGTTTCTTCACCTCACCTAATATAATACGACTTTTAGTAGTTAATTAGATGTGAAGATGTTATGCAGTTGCTCCTGCTTCTTCAAGTCTTCTTTCCTCGAACTAGAATTTGTAATGCTGACTGCTGACTAAATTTTTGTTCAGGTCTTTGCTTTGAAAAGCGTGTCTTCTATAGATTGATATCAGGATTGCATTCTGCTATAACAATCTCAATTGCTGCAAACAATTTTAGCCCAGGTTTTTTTACCTTTGAAGTCTCTACTGTTTTATCATTGTGGAACATACCATCACCACTTTGGTTGTAGATCCGACTGGATTTGGTCCTGGGAAGTGGTTTAGAAACGTTGAGATGTTTCGTGGTCGATTTGGTACGACGTGGACAAAAGATGGGCCAGAACGGTTGAAAAATGTTTATTTTGTATATCTCCTTGAACTTCGTGCACTAGTGAAGGCTACACCTTACTTGAGGAATGAACTGTTTTATACAGGAAACCCTAAGGTGACTTTAAATTTTTTTCGTTTTAAAAATAGCTTTGAATTTTCTAAGCCCCACTTTTGTGGTAATTCTCCTTCGTAAATAGGTTGACTATTTGTAAATCTTTTACTCCTGTTATAACAAATGTTTTATAGTTATTTGTTGGCTTTTTGGGTAGTTCATCAGTTGACTTATTTTCTCTACACTTTGATCTTGAGGTTTAAAGAGCTTTTTAGGAGGATGTAGAAACACGGGCTGCTATTGATGAGTTAATGGATACTTTGAAACAATTCCCCGATCAATTCGATGAGACTGAGATGTTTACAGTAACTGTTTTTATGATTGAATTGTTCTTTACTTTCAAATTTTTGGGATAGAGTTATGTATCTCCGTATAACTCCTATTGCTTTGATTGTTACTTAATCTCACTAAAACTGAGATGCTTGGAAGGGAGGTGGAACGGCTGAAATAATTTGTGTCTTCTAAATTTTTTTGCTGACAATGGCTGTACAACATAACTACTTAAGGGCATTGTGAACGTTTCACTAAGACGGGACAAGTTATTGTAAATGCAAGCTTCTAATGGGATCGCTCACCATTGCGTTTCAAGACCGCGTTAAAAAAGAAGACGATTTTTTTGTTGATGAACAAATGTTTTAAAGTTTTGAAAAGGTCTTGGCCTTTTTTGGAAAATAGAAAGACGCTAATACTAAACGATAGGAAAGTTCGTTTTAGGACGTTTTTGATGGAAAATTGGGAGGGGACCAGGAACGGTGAAATTTCATAACTTTTGTTTTGTTAACTTTTCCGGAGTTTATGTTTCTTGTTTTTTAGGGCAATGAAGCGCAAGCTCGTGAGCTAAGAGAAGAATTCCGCTCTCATTTTCTAAATGTTTCGAGGATAATGGACTGCGTTGGTTGTGATAAATGTCGCCTTTGGGGTAAACTACAGGCTCATGGTATAGGCACCGCTTTAAAAATTCTTTTTGCTGATTTACCGACGTCACATTATCGGAACGGCAAGACGCATTTACATCCTTCTTTTCAGTTGACAAGGTAGGCCAACTTTGCTTATTTTCACTGGTTAAGCTTTAGAAAGATCTTTCATGTGATCATTTGCTTTTCTTTCATATACTTCTGAATTGCCATTCATTTTTTTCCAGGGGGGACATTTTTGGTATTTTTTCAAATATTTTTGATTAGATTATAGATGCGCTGTTGAGCAATATCTTTTATACCCATTTGTTATTTACAGGAATGAGGTGGTTTCATTGTTCCAGAGCTTTGGTCGATTTTCGTCTGCTATCAAGGAGGTAGACGAATTTAGGCGCCTGTTATCTTGATTAGGTTTGAAATTGTTCCCTTGAAAATTCATTATTTATTTATTTATTTACTTTCTGTTTTTTTTTTCATTTGTGGAAGCAGAACAAAGAATTCTTATGTTTGTTTATATGTTGTTTAGGGTGTTGGTGATTATCCTCTGAATTCTTGGTTTCTGTGTGACCTTTGTTTCCTTCATGCTAAAAAGGTGTAAATAGTATAGTTTTCTAAGTTGCTAGGCCTATAAGTCATGGCGTTGTTCCTCTAATCCGCAGGTATGATATGTGGAGCTTAAAGTGGGCTGGAGTTAAGCCTGCTTGTTATTATTCGTTTTTTTTTTCCAGTGGTTTAGTCTCACTTGTTTTGTTCTTCTTTTGGCGATTTTAGGCTATTTATTCTCTTTTTTCACGTATATTGTTTATGTGGTTTGTCGTTTTCATGTATCTATTGGTCTAACTTATTCAATATTTTCTTTTCTTCTTGTCTTTTAGAAAAAAAAGTACTTTCAACGTCATTAACCCTTTCTTATTCGACTGTTTTTGATTGCGATCTGTTAACAGGTTCTTACTAATGTGTCTTCAGGTCTTCCATTTGTTGATTGGAATACAATGTCTTTTCGCACAAGTACCAAAGTTTATTTATTGGGTTATTAGCCGGTTTTCTTATTTGGGATGAAATAAGGATGTTTTTTTTGTAAATATGACTTGAATTAGAATGATGTGACTTCTTGGTCGGGATCGGAATATATAGGCTAATCTTTGGTAAGGTGGTCATCTGCTTTTTTGTGATGTGCAATCTTAAAGTTACAGTTTTGTTTTAATTGTAAACTAACTGTTGCTTTATTTTTAAGGTTTTAGCTATCCAATAAAATTTTATTATTGACAATTCTTTTTGTCTTTGGTTTTGCAACAACTATTTTGATTCTTCTTTACATTCTTTTATCAAGAACGGTTGTCGTTACTGAGAGGGGGAGGATCAGGATTTCTTGCTATGGAGGAAGTTAAATTGTTTTTGGATGTGCGTCGATCCGCACCTGCAGATTGCGACATCATGGCATTTGCGGAATGTTGTTTTATGCTTGCTCGTTTGAAGAGATTTTATGACATGTTTGTAAACAATATTTCAAAGTCTTCCGCAGTTCGCACCGGATCTGTGCGATTCAGTGGCCAGAAATAGTGGTGGAAACAGCTTTATGACTTTGGTACCGAGCACAGTGCTTGTTAGGCTTTTAAAGGTACTACGGAAAGAAAAAAAACAAAGAACTGCAGGTGCGGATGGTGTATCTTCTATGGAAATAAAGGAATTTGAAGTATGTATCATGGGTTTTCTTTATTTTCGTATTTTTTTTTCTTTCATAGAAGGGGTTATGATCGTAAGGGTAATAGTGGGCTGAGACGATACTTTTTTTCTTTTTGAATTCTAGTTAAATTATCAGGAAAATGATGAGGCTGTGCTTATAATTGGGAGGCCACCTGAAAGTAACGACGACTGTATGAGCGTTCTGTTGTAAGGCTAAAGACACGTGTCATTTATTAGGTGCTAAAGGAACGCATACAGACACTAAATACCGCTATGGTAGTACGTTTGTAGTGCTTTCAAGAAGCATATTTTGGTAGAAAAGGAAGGTAAGGAGAAAGAAAGGAAGAAAAATGAAGGTAAAGTGAGTGAGGGAAATAAGCCCACAAGTCAAAGAATTAAGTTCATATACTGGTTAGTACTGGTAGCACTGTTGATAACCACAGCACTTAATGAAGTCATAAAATTGCCTGAGCCGTAAATGTGATAGCAAGAAAACAGGAAGTAGAAAGAAAAAGAAGGGACTAAGGGTTTCGAGTACATTTGAAATCATGTCTTAGAAAATAAAAAACCTTCGGCTAACAGAAAGGAAAGAAAAAAGTGCGAGGTGAAGATTTGGCTAATTTAGTTGAAAGAGGTAAGAAAAAAACACGAAGAAAAAGCAAGTTGAACAAACGCATCTTGGAACAAAAAAAAAAAAAAAAAAAAAAAAAA